CTTTTTTTCGATGAAGAAGCTTGGCGGGAAGGAGTGTTTTACGGGCAAAAAAAAATACGAGGAGAGACCTCGGAAATCGGTTCCGGCATCGGAAAAGATCATCATCGACTAGTTTATAGCGTGTTTAGACTCACATTCGACGTTTGAATCCATTTTGGATCGATCTGACTTGTCGCGATGCGAAAACAACGATGCAATGAGAAAATCAGACGGCCCGAGCGGAAAATTCTCTCCAAAAAGACGGTCTCGTTTTACCAACTGAGATTTCCGCTAGCGGCGAGGCATGTCTTTTGGGAGTCCCCAGCTATCCTATTACACGATGCGACAATTTTTTCCCCGATTCGAGAATTTGAGTTTCTGCCGCCTAAAATCGGGTTTGGCCCCACTGTGCGGCGGTGAAACCGAACCAACCTCCTCTTTATGCTGTCTTCATCGATTACAAAGCAGCCTTTGACCTGGGGTCCCGGGAAAGAATCCTGAGGAAGCTCGCTCTCGCGGGAACTACAAGAAACAAATTACCGGGTGCCCGAGTCGGTGACTCAGGCGGTATGTGGGCGTAGAACTACGCGTTTTCAATAAGTATAGTACTCGGACATCCTCTCCAAAATGTCCATGAAACTAGACTTGGAATCATTATCGTGGCATTAGCGTTTCCAGAACGCTCGATTACGACTGATCAACGTATGCTAGGGGTTTCTTGCCTCCAGTGTTTTCAGCCTCCGTGTCCTTGTTCTGACGTTCCATGAAAACGAGCATACTATTTGGCCTTAATAAATGATATAGATAAGGGGGAATTAAGGAGCATGAACAATGCCTCATCCCAAGCCTATCAAATTCGACCATGACTAGGGCTGGGCATTCATCGCGCGCGCGATACGCGCGAATAAATGCGCGAATTTCTGCATTTTTTTGTCGGGTGCGCGAATTTCCGTGTTTCTATTCGAAATTATTTTTTAACGCTCTAATCAACTCTGAAGTCATTTTCCTTGTACCTTGGTATCGGAGGAGCTCGAGCAGACAATGTAGAAGCTTCGAAACTAGATGCGAAACGATACTGATTGCAATCGGCGGAGTGTCTGTCCGCGCTTCTTGACGCCGCGCAAGTCGGAAATGTTCGCCAAGTGTGCGTTCGGCGAGGCCAGAGAAACGATCGAAACGTTCGCCGTGTCAACAACGCAGAGGAATCGCGAGCGCTATCCGATGGTGAAATCGAACGATCTCGGAAGTTCCGCGAGATTAAATGTAGGATACTCCGTGTGACCATTTGTGTGAGCCGACCGTAAGTTGAAGATTCGATTATGGAACCTCGCCTCGGAGACGAATCGACCCCCCGATAAGGCTACTCCGCGGCAGATCATAAAAGAGACCGCGCTTCCGAGCGCCACCCCATCCGAATTATGAGCGCTCCGAGAAGAAGGAACAGAACGGCCATACATGTGACCCCCGAAATGCGGGCGAAAGAGTTCGCAGACAATCAATTCCATGCATCGGGGGATCGCCTGTTTTGTAGCACGTGTAATATCGCTGTGGACCATACGAGGAAAGACAGCTGCGGTAAACACCTTGAGACCCAGGGTCACAAACGAAGATATAAGTCCTTGGAGGAGTCTCTATCGAAGAAAGCTAAGCTTCAGGTCAGTCTGAGTGAAGCTCTCGGCCAACGAAGTGAAGCAGAGCTAGAGAAGGAATCGACGCTTGTGAGTCTCGTTGAAGCTTTTGCGGCCGCTAACATCCCGTTGCATACCCTCGATAATCCGAAGTTGCGGATGTTCCTCCAATCGAATATGAAGTCTTGCGGGGTCATCCCTTGGGCGAGCAATCTTCGTCGAAATTACCTTCCGAAAGCATTCAATGTCCACGTCAGGAACTTGAAGGAACTTCTCGGAGGAAGTAGATCCGTCGCGATCGTTTGCGACGAAACAACAGACAGAGAGGATCGTTACATCCTCAACGTTCTGGCGATTCCATGTTGTGAAGAGGTCGAAGAGCCAACGTTGAAGGCATTTCTCCTCGAATGCAACGTTTTGGAAAGTACAAATTTCAAAACGGTCAGCGATGCGGTCCTGAAGATTTTGCAAAGATACGAGATTTCTCCCTTACGCGTTAGTGCTTTCGTAACAGACAATGCTACGTATATGAACAAAGCTTGGAAAGATTCATTGAAGTACATCTTCCTCAACGGAACCCATGTGACTTGCACCGCTCACCTCTTGAATCTTGTTTGCGAAGAGTGGGTCTCGTCGTTTCGCACGGTGAATAAGCTTGTCTGCAGCATCAAGAGAGCCTTCACGGCTTGCCCGGCTCGGAAAGCAAGGTTCAAACAATTTCTGAGGGATAACGGGAAAATCGAAAAGCTCCCTCCAGTTCCAGTCCTTACCCGATGGAATAGTTGGTTCCGGGCAGCCCTTTTCCACGCGGAGTATCTTGAGAATTACCACGAGTTTTTCACCAAAGAAATGGAAGGGAGCTCGAGCAGTTCGCTTTCGGAAACAAGAGACCTCTGCGCCTCCCCTTGCGTCGAAACTCAGCTAGCCCAGTTGAGGGAATACGCCCCTCGTATCATGGAAGCTTTAACGAAGTATGAAAGCAACGAAGTGAGCGCGCACCTAGTTTCTGAAGACATGGCCCTGCTCATCGAATGGTTGGAAGTTTTTGCGGCTCATGAAGGAAACCTCGAAGTTACCAGGATCGCGCTCCAAAAATCTGCTGAAAGATTGCGAAATTATCTTTCGGGGGAGGCTACGGCCAAGTTCAGGCAACCGGCCGCTGACTTTTTTCGTGCCTGCCGTGTTTTCGATCCGTCAACCTGAGTACAACTGAGATTCCTGCTGAGTTCGTCATCAAGAACGTGAGATGGTTCGAGGACGACAACCTAGCCAAAGCGGAGCTCCAGTTGTATCTTTCACGCCCGGAAGAGCTTAGAGCGTCCTTGCATCCAGTCGAGTTCTGGGTAAATGCAGCACCCAGATTTCCGAACTTGGCCGGCATCGCTCTCAGTTGTCTGAGCGTGCCGGTTAACAGTGTCGCCGCGGAGCGATCCTTCAGTCAGTACTCTGGGGTTCTCCGTGACGACAGACGTTGTATAAAAAGTGGAAACCTCAGTATGTATAACATGCTGTATCATAACAATGAGGGAATCTGAATTTATTGTGCTTGTAAGATACTAAGACTGTACATAAATTAACCTGTTGTAAATCTAAAAATAAACACGAGCCGCGAATAAGTGCGCGAATTTCTGCATTTTTTTGTCGGGTGCGCGAATTTCCGGAAAAAATGCCGCGATGGATGCGCGAATTTCCGGAAAAAATGCCGCGATGAATGCCCAGCCCTAACGAACACAAATGAGGAACAAAATGTCCGAGAGCTCCGTCGCGGTGGGACAAATTGAACACAGGATTCTAGAATGAACACGAGCAACGCGTGCCGAGCTTTGAAGCCTGCTACGAGAGGCAACTTCGAAAACAAACCCTCATGACGATGAGTTTTCCTATTAGTGTCATGGCCTATGAACATCCTTGCAAGTGAACATCGCCATAGATTCGAACGAACGTGTTTTCGAGCCGGTGTACATTATGTGGTAGTGGTGCCAAATTTTCCCACCGGTTGTCTACTACCACGGAGTTTTCGAACCACTCGGAATCGCGCAGCCAAAATATTAAGGTCGCTGCATTAGTCAATTCGTCAATTAGTCGATGTATCGGTCCGTGGGCTAGTCGGTTGACGATTGTGGCCCATGGTGGTCGAAATGCGCATAGATCCACCTATATCTATGCGCATACTTCGCATATTTCCGCGCATTTTTTCATGCATAAGAATCCGAGCCTTGTATGTCACCTTCTCCAATCCTCTAAGACTGCTTCAGTGAGCGACTGCATCGGATGGCCACGTACGGCATCCAGCCAGGCCTTCCTTGATAATATAAATCCCTATGTGAATATTTGGGCTAGGTACATAAACTGGTCTTCAGTTAATAAACGACTTCAAGTATTCCGATACAAATTTATTCAGTACAGTCTCGTGAATACATTGATTGGTTTGAAGTTTCCAGGACAATCCTTGTTGCGGGTCTCGTTTCTCGTTATATCAAGGATTCTTTGTCGGGCGTTTCTTTTCGAGAGCTAAACAATTCGAGAATTCCGCAGATCGTGTAGCACCCCAACCTCGAGTGGTGACTTGGAGAGATCCCGATCGTAAGGGAAAACGCGTTGGTCTACGTCATGAATAGATTCCGTCTCATCCCTCCATCGTCAATGCTCAGTAGGAACGTTGGGGGTGGACAAGTCACGAGGGCTGTTATCTTCGAGCAACCGCGCCGTTTTGGTCGCGCCGTTTTGGCCGCGCCGTTTTGGTCGCGCCGTTTTGGCCGCGCCGTTTTGGTCC